TCAAAACTAAATCAAAAGTCAATAGTCAAAAATCAAAACTAGTTTTGACTTATGGCGAAACCTTTTGACTTTCGCACAGCTGCGAAACTCTCGAGTTTTGAAAACCAACCCTACTTCATATACATTTCATATTTTAATAAAGCTTAATGAAAATGCAGGTTTCAATTATCAGAAGTTTTTAAATATTTATTCTCATGTTCCTGTATCTAAGCATTTAATTAATGAAAAATATAGAATTAACCGTTTAAATTGGTGCATGAAAAAAAAATGGGTTGGTATATTAAAAAGTGGAAAAATGTGATGTGAAATGACGAAGGCAGGTTTACTATATTTAAAAACGGATGGTCCAGGCTGTGTTTGGAGAACGACTGGTAAATCCTACTGTTAAACATTGTGGTGGTATAATGGTATGGGGGTTCTTTTCAGGAAAAGGAGGACAGCAAAATGAATAGTCGTTACTACATTCAAATATTAGAATTGCAGTTGATCCCTCTATAAAGATTCTAATAATAGGATATTTGTTTCAGGATGACAATGCTCACACGGCCAAAATTGGATTGTAACAATAAGAAATTGAGCAACTGTGGAATTAATAAGAAATTCATAAACACTGCCCACCTTAAAATATGTAATATTGATAGTAATCAGTACTGAAAATTACTGTTATATATATACCAGGAAGTATTTATTTCCACAATCAACTGCTAACTCCTCAATCACTTTTTCTTTGCAGCCATTGCATAACACAACTCCATTCAATACAACATTTGTGTCAATTAAATTGTGATATAACTGTTGAATTAATATTTTTATTATCTCTTTATTACAATCAGTGCAATTTCTATTAATTTCAATATTCCAAGTAATTTAAAATATTAATTCTGGATAAATTGATTCGATCAATAGTTTAATTTGTTTGCCATTTTATCACTTTAAATATCCTTTGTATTTATTTGTCACGAGAAATATTTTTTTTCAAATCTCGGGTCCCTGTAACTTACTGCGCCGCACACCGACCACAAATAATTTAACTAGATAAACAAGGTTTGACTGTATATAGTATTGATCCAATACTTTCTTTCAGGGATTCATGAATTGAGATTGGTTAGCCTTTGACATTTCAATTTTTATTATCATCAAATCTATTAAATAAACTCATACAACGCCTCTCTATCTGTAATTCTTGTATCTGGATCAATTCCATCAACTCCTTATATCAGTATTATTTATTGCTTATAAAAAATCTTGATCATTTTTTCACACCATAATAAAGTTTTACTATGAAATGTTTTGTCTCTACAATTATTTAAAAAAAAAATTATTTTCATATATTAATATTAGTAGTATAAACCATATTTTGTTTAAAATAAATGACAGTATAAAGACATACCTTAGAAAGCAAAATGAACGTGATTCTGTAAATATTTATAATAATAATATTTAGGCATTTAATTTATCTTTGTACGCACTAACAAATTTCTATATATATGAATACAAAGTCAAAATTTGACTTTAAGGCTGAGAAAGCATCGAACAAAATTAATTAGCTTATGTTAAGGGTTTGTTACAAAGAGTTCTCAAAATTTTAATATCTCATCATCAGATTAACATGAATAATTGTTATAAGTGAAAATATAGTAAATTGACGAATAAATAAATTTTTAGCAATTATTAAAACAAATAATTTGAATTATTGGTTGAATAATTCTCTATAAATTTATATCGTATCGGTGCAACAGATACATGAGTGAACTTCATATACAAAGTATAATTTAAATAACGCTGCGTTATTTTAATGATTCATAATTGTATTAAATAACTTTGAATTATATTAATGATTAAATTTAATTATCATATAACATTTGATTATATAATCTTTTCGACTGAATTCATAAAAAATTTGTTTATTATTGATAATATGTCCAACCATACAAACAAAATATAAAATATAATAAAAATTTAAATATAAAAAAATTGAAAAAATAAGATTGAAATAATTATTACGAATAATGGGCTATTGTACTAACACTAACGTTTAATTTTTGTTATTGTTATTGTTATATAGAAAATTTTGGATATTTTGAAGTTGAAATACTATGTAAATAAGTAATGGCAGTTGATCATTGTTTTGATGAACATTTTGACCAATAAAACTATTGTCAAAACAATTGTTCAGATAATTTATGCTTGTAGTAATAGATGTATTCTGGCCAGTGTTATCACTGCCAGCACCGCCAACCACTCCAGTGAAGCTTTGATCAACGAAGCTATTATTGACAATACACGAGTTTTGGTTAGTGAAATTAATTTGATGAATTAAATTACCGTCTCCAGAGTTTTGATCAATGTAATTATTTTCTACCGAGTTCTGACTGTTTTGGTGACCGAAATTATTATCTTCAGGGTTTTGATGAATGTAGATATTGTCTTTGAGGTTTTGATGAATGTAATTATCATCTCCAGAGTTTTGATGAATGTAATAATTATTGTAGTGGTATCCAGCGACTTGATTGCCGTAATTGTTGTAATTATTAGGTGCAAAATCTTGATTATTAACATTATCATTATCATTAGAACCGATATCATTATTATTATCTTCAGAATAATTTTGATACATTTTAGTTTTTATGAATTTAGTTTTTTGTTATATATTGCTTATGAATTTATTTATTGAGGTTATTTATTAATTATTATTATTTGTTTTTTAAAAAAACAAAATTTTCATTTTCGTGAATAGTGTATTTTTATATGTAAAAAAAAGAAGAAAAGATAGATGTAACTGCGTAATAGTAAAGCTTTCAAGTTCGTCACAAACAGGTTTTTTAACTCGTATAAAACTAACTGCACGATATTTTGTCTGTTATCTATTATTAGTGATGTAATGACAATCTTGAAATTATATCGTGTAACTTAATTAAAATGAATTCATAATTAGTTTTTTGGTGTAAATTTTATATTATTTAATACAATTCCTCGCTTGTGACAATTGCTAGCTGCATGTATATTGTAACCCATATACTAATAAGCACAACAAAAGATTTGTATTTGTTATCTATCACTTTAAATAATTATTATTTACCACCTACAAATTATTATTACTATTCATAAACTTTACTGGTAATTTTACACACTAATTGGCACCACAACCTTTAATAAAAACATAGTTGCATCTTCGTGTTTGTAGACTGTGGTGGCTCATCTTTTTTGTTCACAAAAAAAAAGTCATCAATTCAATCCTATCATAATCAGATTAGTCGGATTAGTAAAAAACGTTACAAAAACTAATGAAACAGTCTTTGGAGGGGTGGTGCTTCAGTTAAATGATGTAGAATTCGGTTTTTTAGAATTTAAAATGTTTAATAGATTTCCTGAATATTTATTTCATTTATAATCAAAGGTTGTGTACGGGATAAGGTAGGTTGTTTGCTGAAAGTGGCCAATCGAATTGTTTGATTAATTATAATATTACAATGAATCGATTATATCCTCACTCTCTCTCTCGTATTATCTATTAGTTAGTAGTTCATCAAGCAATCAAAATCGACATATCCATCAATGATCTGAAGGAGCCTGAAGAATCCTTAGCCGTTAGCAACGCAATGCCATGTTTAACATTTCTGGGAAGGTTGTGGGTGACTATGAAGTTATTAAGATAGATGTCGACAATAATCACGCTAACATGTTCAAAATTTCGCGCCAAATATACAATGCTTTTTCGAAAGAAGATGAGGATAAAAACAAGGAAACCTCGGTAATAAATTACACGATAAAAAGTATCCTATTTCATGTTTCTAAAGTTTATATGTTAGTGATGAGTTATTATTGAATGCGGAAGCGATCGAGTAGACATTCTTAAATCCAAGAAATCTATCATCATCATCCAACAGCACAAAAAAATTAGCAGGAATATAAAAGTCATCTTCGCCACTAAAGGATTATTATTTCATAATTCAACAACAACAATAACAACAACAAAACAACAAGAATAACAAGACAGCAAAAACAACTTCTCCACGGGTGCCTCCAACATTACCCTCTTTCTTGACAATTTTCTCTCCACAAATACGTTTAAGATTATCTTCCTCATCCTCCTCCATTCACCAACATCAACTAGAGGTTGGAATCGTCCAAAAAATCCTTAGTCGACTACTAGTTGGTCAAATTTTCTTTTAGTCGACTATTTAGTCGACTAAATTTTTTTAATACTAGCGTGTAACCATTTGCTTCGCAAAATGGTCATACACTAGTCACGGGAATAACATCCTATTTAATTAGAATATTCATTCTGTTTCATTATTATTAACGTTTTTTTTTAATTTGCAGATTACAAATTCATCTCCATTTGAATCTTTAATTTTCTCGAAATACTTCCATACGAAGCTATATGTTATAATTCGTTTTTTTAAAGGTCTGGAACCACTGCTTGAGCTCGAAGCCAACGAATTGTTGGAATGATTTGACCTTGTATCAATGTTTATTATTTCGCATGGATAATTATCGCCGACACCAGCACCAACGCCACCATTATCATCTTCTTCATAATATTGATACTCCGCATATTTATTTTTTTTATTTTTAAATTTTTTTCTACCACAAAAAACATTTTCATTTATAATTGGCCAGACAATAATAATAATTAGTATTAGTCGACTAAATAATCGACTAAAATAGTCGACTAAATAAACAACTAAGGTAGTCGACTATTTTAGTCGATTCCAACCTCTAACATCAACAACAGAAACGACAAGTAGAAGATGTAGTGAAAGGTATCGATCATAATGATTTTTACCAAGAGGATTTGTTGGATGTCGTCAATACTAAAGATTTCAACTGAAAACATTAACATGAAACCAGATTAAAAAAACAGAAGACGGAATGTAAATAGCAATAACAAATTAATGATTTATTTATTTATTTATTTACTTTCTTTTCTAAAATTTGTATATTTCATCTTGATAAATAAATAATTGTACATGTTAATAATTATACTGTTTGTGTTGTTACTACTGCTATCAGATGCACTCTTCTAGATTACAGAGTTTACTATAGGATGCGGTTTTTTTTCAAGTTACATTCATTATGTTTGACAAATCGTACTAGTGCGTAATAATCCCACTTCTTAAATAGAAATCTCTAGTCTTAGGAACCCGAAACATTTAATCTTCAATTTGAAATTAATAAGACTGATTTTTTTCTACAGTCAATCCTTGTCGCAACGGCCACGGATAATTTCAAATCCGTTATTACTAATGATATAACGGATTTTATATTATATGTAAACAAAAATTTGATCATAACAAAAGGTATAGTAATTATATTTATGTACAATAAAATAAAAAAAAGGTAAACTATATATTGTCTACTTCGTTATATTCAACTTCTCGGAAAAAATTTTAGACACCAAAACAAATCTGTTGTGACAATATTTGTCATCATTCATTACATTAAAAAAAATAAATTTATATTGGAACTTTTTTTTTCCGTTTACTCTTTTCAAGTTTGAGAAATATTTAAATGGATAACAAATAAGTAAAATTCCATTATATCAAAAAAAAGTATTGTCTGTATTTTACCTATTTTAATACCGGATTTTGAAATGGACTATAATTCATTTTCCATTGAGAAATTTTTTATTTATTTTTTAGTTTTTTAGCGCAAGAAAGAAATTAGTTGGCATTGGTACTACGCTTCGTTATCCTTTTTTGTTTAGAAAGTTTTAGAAGCGATAATCATTCGCTTTGAATTCTTTTTTTTAGAAAAAAAATTCTTTTTGGAAAAAAACCTCTTTTTGGAAAATCTGAGGTTCTACAATTTTCAATACATTTTTTAATTAATAGTAATAGCAATTTCTTCTTTCTCTCTGCAGAGCTCAGCAAGATAGCGAGCGCTATGAGCAGCTAGTGAAAAATCACTTTTTTTCAAACTTAATTTTTTGGGAAGGAATTTTTTGTTTTTGTTGGGTAGTAAATTTCAAAAAATTTTTTTTTTATTTTTCTGAAATCGATATCAATACACTTGATGATCTATGTTGAAATT